GATTGTAAGCTTGTCCACGTCGATCTGGAGGAGTAAAGGATGGATCGCTGCACTGTCCCCACTCCTGGCCACACTTCCAACATCTGGGGAAGGTACCTTTCATCACAACATGACAGGCTGCACAACGCCAAGATGGTTGCTTTTGCGCCATGGTGTCTTTGGAGGCCGCAAGGACTCGACGTAAGAACGTGGGATCCTTTGAATGGTGCTTGCTGAGAGTACTGTGGATCTGCAGAAGCTGGGTGCTCGATAGCCGCTGAACACCACGTCGATGCAAATACCACTGTAGCCTCGCTCTTGCACGCTGCCGCCGCTGTGTCCTTCTTGCAGAGGAGGAAGCCGTCCTCGAGCAAAAGATCAGCGCAAGCCCCAGGGTCCGCGACAACCTTCACCAGAATCAAAAAGGAGAGCAGGAAGATCCAAAGGGCCGTGCTCATACACAATGACCGGGTGATAGGCCTCGCTGAAGCACCAAGAGTGTCAGCACGAGGAGGTGAAGCGAAGGAGATATCGGCTTGCTCGGAACCGACAGAGCTCAAGAGAGAATGCTCGGCCGCAGCGAAGGCTAGATCAAAAGCCCGGAGGTTAGGCCACAACCCCCTAAGGAATGGCAGAGGAAGGATCGTAAAGCGATCTAAAACCTCCTTAAGCCAGAACCTTATATATATGTATATATATATATATATATCAAAAGGTTTTATGATGGATCATTCTGAGTGTATGAGCCAAATGGTAGCAAAAAATGTAGCAGAATGATGGATGACCAGGACATCAATACTCCGACCTCTGCGGCCATGCTGCGGCAGAAGTTTTTGCAGTGACTTGATCGAGGGCATGGGCTGAGGGAGGGTATATATGAAGTTGCGCTGTCATCCCCTTTGAACTTTGTGTATTCAATGATTTGAGTCTATGATATTATGAATGAATTTGTAATGAGTTTGGTGTGGGTTTAAGTTGTTTACTGTTTACTAATCATTAATTACTAATGATGATCATTATCAATGAACGAGTTGTTTTGCTTGGGACTTGTCGCTGCGGTTTGCTTTGTCGCCTAGGCAGCGACAAAAGACGCTGCAGAAGCAACGTTCGGGATCCAGCATGCCAAATCTCGGTTTGACATGGGTGAACACACGTGAACAGTTGTTTTTGGGCACTACTATTATACTACTATTGGCAAATTTGGACCGTGGAAGAAGGAATTCCTCAGATCAAAGAGTTTTAGCGGATGCATCAGGATTTTGCTAGTTTTAAAATCTGAGATCTCTGACTTTGTATTGAGACAATTCCAACTTTCAGTTCCTGATACATACAGTTCCTGTTAGTTATATATCTTCATTTGGCTCTCGGATCAGTTGATCATTCCCTGAGGAACCGGTGGGCTCACAGGAATGGTGCAGGCCAATCAGGCCTCTCATCCGACAAGTAGAGGTTTGCCTTGAACTTTGCACGAAACCTTCACAACCCATACGGGGGACTACCCAGCCCGGATACCCCTTGATTCCAACGTGCATGATTCATCATGATTAATGATTCTCAGCAGAATAGAACAATATACAGTCTATACATGTCTATACAGTATACAAGATGTTGATTCCCTATGGTTTCTGTAACAGTATAACTTATATGGAATTGATTCCCTATTATTTCCCTATGGTTTCTGTTGATTCCCTATGGTTTCCGGGGGGTTTTGCATTTCACTCGCCACAATCGCCACAGGGGATTGCTATGAGCCCCAGTGCCGCCGGCAGCCCTGGTGCACCTCGGCCATCAGTGAGCCACTGGGCTGCAAGCTGACAGCATGGATTCAGACTCGGAACCAGAAAATTGGCACCGGTTGGGTATAATTATATACTATATTATATGATAATATATTATATGATATATTATAATTATACACATTAATTGTAACTATCAATATTAATATATTCTACCATAATAATCTATACACGCCTAACGAATACAATTCATTGAGGATAAGTGAGAAGTGCACACTTCGATGCCTAGCAATGAGTTCCCTCAACCGAGGTCGTTCATTCAGCAATATCACCGCTGACTCGGCACCGCCACCCCCGCCCCCGCCTGGGAGTGGCGGCTACGATGGGGGCGAAGCGTCGGGAGCACCTGGAAGCTGTCGATGTTACACCCGATGCATGCACTGCAGCAGGTTCCTTTTTTCACCTCAAATTCAAGTTTGATCAAAGTCAGATGAAAGCACATGAAAACTCCCGATCTGCCGTTTCAATGGCTTGGAAGTTAATTATGCAGATTGAGTAGTTTGTCTATAGTGTTCTTGAGAAATGCAGCCTTCGCAGTTTATTATTTCGCTTTTGCACTCAGATAGGCTGTTGAGTGATTTGTTGGGAAAAGGATAGTGGTTGTTTGCCTCCCCCAGAGGTGAATCTTTGGTGATAGGTTGCTCCCATGGGTTATGGCATCTCACATGCCGCACTGAAGGCCCCCTGCTGTACATGGGCCTCCAGACACTGGAGGCTTGGCATGGGGGGGTAACAAGTTGCTAGCCACAGCAGGAGTTACGGATGTTCACGAAACACCGCATTTGCATTGTAACTGTATCTGAGTGAAGATGAGGATAAACGACTATCGTACATATTATCTAATATCGACTGAGTATTATTTTCCAGTTTGAGTGGATCCATCCATTTTTTCTTTCCTCTTCATGTCCCCTTCGCCCCTTTGCAGGTTCCATGTCGAGTCCCAAGTCACCTGATGGAAACCCGTTGTCCCAGACCCAGCTGTAGCAGGGTCACACCCCTGTTCGAATGTTTTCGGCACCAAGGCATTTGATGGATATCAAGGGACTTCAAGGGATCAATGGCAGTGCTTAGTAAGTCCTGGAGGTTAGGGTCAAGATTGGTGTCCTGACTCCCATTGACTGCCTATGGGCAGCCCAGGCTGAAATCAGTGATGGATTCCATGGCAGCTGATGGTGAGGCTGCACCAATAGAAAGCATGGCATCTACGTGATCTAAAATCCAAAGATATCCAAAGTTTACAGTGTGCAGTCACATTTTCCCCCAAACAAAATATGACGAAATGAATATTTGGAAACCCTTGTCCTCCATTCTTGCTAGCTGAACAGAACCTAGGGGAGCATCGATGCCAGGAAATGGAGGGCATGGTGGCGCCAAATCCGATGACTGCAGATGAGTTGAAGGTGGGGCACCAACCATCAAGGGCGCTCTTGATGCAGCCAGTAGTTGATGTAATACCTTTGTGATGCGTGATTGGCATGTTTCAATCCTGGCTGACAATACATCAGAATCATATTGTACCTTGCTGATTGCTTAAATGGAACGTTACAACTCAGAATCATATGCAGCAATCTAAGGCCCACTCATTAGTCGTACCTTTTGGACGTTTCGGCGATTTGTGTCACCAAGCCCTCCCAGGCCGAAGAAGCTCGCCGGCGTTCCTCACTGGTGGGCGTCCCCGGTGCGTTGCCAGTCTATAAGACATCCCTTATGATATGCATCCAGGTATCACACAGTGGATATCATTGGATCACATGAAGGGTCAAGATCCTTTTTGAGATATTCATATATATATATTCATCCATATTCACTAAATAAATCTAATGTTATATAATGTTATTGACCATTACAATCATATGCAGGTATTTTTTTTGTGGCAGTTGGCTGCCCTTTTCGGCATCGTCCAAGGCAGCTGCATTGGATGAGAAAGGGATTTCTACGGTGCGAGCACCTGGTCGTTTCATTCAAAAACGATGTGACACGTAGAGATGATTCAAGAAGTGATAATACATACTAGTACATTGTATATGGTTCAATAAACATATGCATAAACATACTATATATATATTATAATTATTTATATATATATATTATATATATATATTAAACATATTATACTAGTATATGTTAAAACATATTATAGATAAGAAGAAGAAGAAGAATGATAACAATAATAATGATATAATAATAAATTCATAATGAGAATCACATACCGTTTCATTTATAGTGTCTCACAGTGATGAATCTGTCAACCTGCCTAGTGAGAAACTGCCACTCAGAGACTGATCCGTTCCGGCTGGAATTGTTGTGCGAGTCAGGATCCGAACTCTGAATCCAAACTCTGACTAGATTGATTAGTAAGCCCTTATTGTTGGTGCTTATTTGGTGGTGGATTAGTAACCCTTAATCGGGTGGGTCACCGGCGGCAGGTTTTCGATCCCGGGGCTGGCGCAGCCGTGGCGTAGGGAAGCTCAAAATCCAGCAGGAACTGCTGAACCAAATCAGAAGTAAATGTGATATGGAAACAGTCGAAATAGTCGAAATAGTTGTAGAATCGATAGAAATTTGCAGCCCAGAATTGATTTGGAGGCTTAAAGCACTCCTTTGCACCAAAAAAGACAGGTGGTTTTGCCCAGGAAAGCCAGTGTGGCAAACACAGTGCTTTTGTGCCGAGGAAGCCACAGTTTGATGTCACCAGTATTCCGCCACTGGAAATGAAGGGTTTCCTGCTCAATCCATCCCCGAAACTTGGCTGCAAGGAAGAATATGGGTTGATATACATGTCCGAAGCAGGGAATGTGCAACCTGCCAAGCATTTGCTATGGTCCTCTTTGCTTGCTTCAGACGCAAGAAACCTGAAACTCATTTGGCTGAAGGAAGAGTGCTGGCATGATTGAGTGCAGGATCATTCGCCCGATTCTCAGCACCATGTGACACTGATGCCCAGGTTGGGCACAGCAGAAAGTGCAGGTTTTTTCCTGCATCGTATATTTTGTTATCAGGTTCCACACACTGAAAGAGTTTCGCGTTTCGTTGACAATAGACGAGCCTCAAATGGTAACTTACTAAAACATTTCAGCAAGCATGTAGGAAAGCGCAGGCAAAACATTACCAAACCACAGCTTTTGGAATTCTACTATGGAAGCACCACCGACATCGGCTGGATCTTGGGACTGTTGAGATTCAGTATACTGCATCCAAAGTCAGCTGTGCAACCCTTGGGCCTCGTGGGTCTTCGGTCCATGGCAGCCTATTTGCAGGACTCAGAGACAGGGTAGGATGAAGTGGGGTGCTGCAACCCAAAAGCACTCATGAACCAAATGGGATAAATGGGATAAATGGGATTGATTGACTCAGTGAAGACGGCCTGATTTCTTCGTCAGGAGCCATGGCGCCGGCGAGCAGGAGGTCGTGGCACAGGCTTTGGGCTCAGAGGCTTCAGAAGCGTGGCAAATGGCCTAGTGGCAGGATGGGAACGACTTCAGATGTCTTGGTGATAAAGTGATGTTTACTGATTCAACAGTCGGATGGGTCTCAAAATCTGCACCAAACACACTGCTACAGTAGCCATCAGCTGGTTGCTCAGGCTTTTCAAAGGTCCGCGAGGCGGTTCTGGAAGCTTGTGAACGCATGAATCGACCAGTACCCAGCCTGCCAAATCGATGGGTGCGATGGGTGCTGGGGGATCTGTGGAAAATTGGGAGGCACCCCAGACATGTTGAAACGTGCATGAACATACCCTTGGGCCTTTGCACCTTTCAGCGAGGTTGAAGAATCGGCCAAAGTGCTGCAATACCTCGAGAGCGAATGGCTTTGCGTGCCTTGGATGTCTGACATTTTGCTTCAAACAAGCACATCCGCCTCAGCATGAGACATTTTGCCCGACACACGAGCTCACCAAATTCTATCCAACGTGAGCCAAAGGATCCAATGACCTTGGGTGCAATGTCTGAAGATGCCTGGAAAGAAGTTCGTCTGCCCTTGGGTTTGAAAGAGAAGCTTGGCAGATCTTGGCAGCCTAAACATGAAAACACAGCTTTCCTGCGGACCCCTTCAATGGAACCAGTCTGTCAGTATGTATAGTAGAGTACTCACTGTATTCACTATCAGTCAATTCAAAGCAGATCAGTAGATCCATTATCTTGTCACCCCTCCTTTTGCAGTTGGATATCGATTTTTCATGCAACATGTTATGATCCGATATGTACCACTTTGTATTCCCTATATACAGGCCCTATCCTCAGCGGAGATGGATGCCGTGTGCCCCAAGGTATTTGCGTCTCCGCTTTCGTTCCAAAGCGGACGAAGCCCCAGGGTCCCCGCCGCAGGTGGTCTTTCAAGATACGGAGCCAGCCAGGAAGCCCGAGGCCATGGAGGATCCATGGTTTTTCTGTTTCGACGGTGCAACATATATAGTTTCTTCATGTTTCTTCATGTTTCTTCATGTTTGCTCATGATTGCATAGAACACACATGAACGCACCATGATGTTTGTCGAAAGGTATCATGAAGTTGTATATTATGATTTTATGTATTCAAATCTATCAATGAACATGTCTATGTTAGTATATATATATATATGTTACTATACTATATTATGTATTCTATATGTTACTATGTTTGGCGGTTTAGGCCAAGCTTGCACTGAATGTTGTTGGCTTATCCTCCTTGATAGGCCTCTACAGAGAAAAGTGCTGTGGAGGTGCCTTATCTCCCCTTACCTTAGCTCATCTTAGCCCTCCTTGTGAAGGGCCGAAGGGCCTTTTGGCCTTTTGAATTTGGTGGATGACTGTGGACGTGATTTGCGGAGAATCGAAGCAACGAATCCAGGAACACATGTTTTTGTGCAGTACTTGAAGTGATTGATGGAGAATGTGTTTTTGGCTTAAAGTGTTGGAATCAAATTGTTTTTCACGGGCCCCTTAGTGTTCAAAGGAATGTAGCGACTTCCTTAATATGGTTTGGTACTCTCGGCAATGCAGGTGGGATTCTCATTGTTTGTAAACAGAAGATAGACTTGGGTTGACTTGGATTTGTCATCCTTTTACCTGCCCAACCCGGCTGTTGCAAGGTGCTACTTCTCCGAATTCAAGAAAAGATGGGAAGAGAGAACCGCACCATGAAAGGCATGGCTAGGCGCTTCAAACGCATGGATGATGTGCCTTGGCAGAGTGAAGTTGAAGTGCTGCGTTGTTCTCACCTTTTCATTTTCACATTCTTCACAGAAGTAGAAAGAACATCTCGCATATCTCGGGTTTCATTTTTTGGGGGAATTACCCCAAACCATTTTCCAGCGATGAGTGCTATGGAAAGTCCCGCCTCGACCAAAGCTTAGGACTTGGATCACTACATGGAGATTTCTGAATTCGTCAATGCCATGAAAGAAGTCAACGCCAATCTTACAGACAATGAGCTGCAAATGCTTTGGCGATACATTGATCGCAGCTCAATGGCATTGAAACACTTTTCACATCTTCCTGCTGGATAGTGCTTTGAAACACAAAGGGAAAACTCCCTGCTGAAAATTTATATAGTTTCAATCGAAATTGAAACAACACTTCTGTAAGTACGACCACATTGGTACTTCATAAAGGCCTTGTCCATCCGTGTCATATTTGTTGTTGGGCTCTGGCTTTGAATGTCACAATGTAGGTTTTCTTTAGGCAGGCTTATTTCAGCCAAGGGCATCAGGAGTTGCATCCAGACTTGATAATTGAAGATGTGATTCGTTTGGTACTTAGCCAATACCCGTCATAAATACACGGAAGAGTGTGAACGTTCCATAAAAAGTTCAGTTTGCAGGAAGTTACATATAATATATATATAGTTTATATATATATATATAGTTTATATGTATATAGTATATATATAGTTATATATAATATATAGTTATATATAATATATAGTTATTATATATAGTTATATATATATAGTTTATACATATATATATATATAGTCATATGTATATGTATATATATATATATGTATATTGTAACTTAAATAACTATATATATATATATAGAGTTTATATATATATATATGTATATATGTAACTTAAATAACTATATATATAGAGTTTATATATATATATATGTATAATATGTAACTTAAATAACTATAAATATATATATATATATAATAATCATCATTATCATTGAATTCTGATAGGAGGGGAACCTTGACAGGGTTCGATTCGTTCAGGAGATGGCAATGGCAGAGTGACCTTCGAACAGTTCTTGAGGATCTTCAAGCCAAAGCTCTCGGAAAGGCAAGGCTCTCACCTTGCGGAAAGCTGATTGCGCAGCCGCACAGTCATGGAATCTGCATTGCACACTCATTTAGTGCGATTCTGTGGTTTCCAGAACAGACCCTGCCTTTTGAATATCAAATCTCCCCTTGCTTTTCCAGAACATGTAGTTGTGAATCTACAGCGATGAATACATTTGTACAATGTAGTTGCACAGGAATGACACCTTGATGAGATCTAATCTATCAGTTGCCCTTGGATCAACCATGGGGGATGTATGGGCCAGTATGGAGAATGCGTGTCAACACAGAGATGATGGGTTTGCCGTGAGGCGTCGTCGAGCCGTAAAAGGCCTCTTCGATTATTTGGATGCAAATCGACGCTCAGCTGACAAGCTCAGCTGCCGCAATTTCGACTGGAAAGCAGATGTAGTATGATACAGATTGATACAGTACTGTACTTGTATCCCATAGCCAAAGCCATCTTTTCCGTGGGAACCAAGGATTTTTGATTATCAGTATCTCCCAAAATCGGGATGGGGCCACTTCAAAACTTCAAGTCCATTCAAATCCGCCATTTTAAGGACAGACAGCTGGGGTTGGCTATCCTGTAGTTTGAGATACATAGTCACATAGTCACATAGTATCTTTTAATCTTTTTTCATACATTCTTTGCTCCATGTTCAGTTTTATTGACCTCATAGATGTGCCATGTTGCTACGTATATATGGGCCATATGGGACACTGGAAATGGCCACAGCATCAGGAAATGGAGTGATTCAGGTGGACGATCTGAAGCTGCGATGTGATCCACATGCCTTGGCGGAAGGCGAGCTGAGCTATGCTATCATGTTGTATCATGTTGTTGTATCAATTTTCCCATCCAAAAATTGGGGGCCAAGAAGCTACTAAGATTACTAAGTAGAGTTTCAGAAATACATGATAGTCTACTAGTCTACACCGATGTACAAAGTGAGGGATGAACGAGAATTTAAGGCCACTCAAATTCAAGAGAGATAAAGGGACAAATTTGAATTTGCCCACATTCAAATTCCCAGTGTTTTTTTGAAAAAAAGACTTCTCTTGTGGTGAGCAACCAGTCATGGAGAGGCATGCAGAAAGTCCGCGGTGTGCGGATGCAACCAGATGAGGTTCCTGAAGTCTTGGGAAGTGCAGCTGTGGCAGCTAATTGTCCCATATCATACCCGAAGGATCCAGAAAATGAATGAAAATGATATGATAGAACAACTTAGAACACTTTATGTTCGAACTGTCTCAACTAAGTGTCTCAACTAAAACAGGTTCTGTGCTTCCAGATTTTGACATGGCAGATCACATCAGATCACCATCTCCAGGTCTTGGTGAACTTCATGGAGAACTTCCGGCGACTCGTGGGGGGAAGTGTCTATGGAGAAGTGCGATACGCTGACTTCGTGGCTTGGTGAAAGTGAGAAAGTCTGCAGAAGATGGGTCTAAACCAAGCAACTGGTGGCTTCTGGATGATGGATGAAGTACTAGTGCACTTTAGTGCACTTTGATATCGTTTGATTGTTTGGATGACGTCAAAGAATGAAGAGTTCAAAGCAAATTAATCCAGAGTCTTAATATGTCTTAATGATCCGAATCCTCTCCTGAAAGGTACTAGGTACAGTAACTTGATCTTTCGCTCCTACAAAACAGTGACAAGGTATTCAGTTTGCATTACCCTCTCTGCGAACAAAGGGTCGCAGTTGTTTCTCGAATCTCCCGGTCCCTTGGGCGACATGGTGCATGGACGATGGCAATAAGTCGATGCAGCCATTCCTGGCTCAGGAAAAGTACTACGAAGGCCTCTCTGCAGGTGGGATCTACTGATCTACCAGTGTCGACAAAAGATACAGCAGATATAAATGCAGCACCAAGATCAAGAGCCCTCTTAGGTTCAAAACAATCCTTAGAACATTGTTGAAACTCTTGTTCCGTTTCTTGAGATTTCTATCGATTTGATATGATTTGATATGATTTGATGAATTTTGGATTTTAGAGATGATTTCAGGGAGGGTTATTTTGGTTTCCCAGAGGATGTTGATACTCAGTTTGTGCAACGGCCAAGATGCCTTTGGACAGGTGCAAGGTTGATCAAGGTTGATTGTTATCCCAACATTGACAGGTGCCAGTACTGAATACAGGAAAAGCTTGGGATGCTTTGCTCAAGTGGTTTTATCAATGCTTCCCAAGAAGACATCGTGAGCCACCCTTTCGTGATTTGAACACAATTTGTCTTTAATGTGTTTTGCTTTTGATTGCTTTTGGCAATTCAGATTTGGTGAATTCAGTTCAGGAATAAACAAACAACATTGCAAGTAGTTGCGAATAGAAGAAAGTATTCAACTTCCCACCGCGAGGCATTGATTCTGATGTCTACTTCGAGGAGTTGCTGCAAAAAGCATGGGATCTTCCCAGTGGATTCTTCCAACATTTGCAGGTGCGAGGCATTTGTTGATGTTCCATTTGTGCAACGGAATATCTGCTTTTATAATGTTTTGCAGACTTCAAACCAGACTTGTAGACTCGTAGACAGTGTGGAGCAATGGCATCAAATTCCTTCAAAGAGCATTTAATTTGTGACCAGCAGAAACGGTCAGACTTCTGCAAGTTTGTACGCAAAAGTGCATGTTCTTTGTGGATGTTGTCATGTATGATACGTGTGAACCTTGCCTGTTTGGCTTCAGAAGTGCAAAGAGCTCCAGCCGCGATTACCACCCTTTCTGCCTAGTCACCCTCGACTCACATGATGAGGTGGTTGATCACATTGGTGGTTCCAATTGCAGCTGTTCCACAGCTGAATACCAGCACGCAGAATGTCAGCATCAGTTGCAAGATGAACGTCTCCCTTCAAGCTGAAGGATACCTCCATGAGTGGTGCAAAGATGTGAGTTCCAAGGCCAAGTTTCCCGCTTGCTATCCTGCAGGTGTTCCAGAGTGGCATCCGGAAAACAACATCATCGTGCAGTTGCCAGATCCTTCAAGCTGTCCGGTGGCTGTGTCACCTGAATGGATCATCGCCGGATGGTCTTGGAAGTACATTCAGTTGGCTCCTGGAGAGTCGTATCCTCTCTCAGTGAACAAGTCGGAACAGGCGTTCATGAAACTGATCCGTGGAAGTGTGTTGGATGTGAACCAGATCGGAGTGCAGGCTCCATCGGGTCACTAGGAAACTTTTGTGGTGACTCCACCCAACACTGAACGAAGCTTGGAGTTGGATCACCGACTTTCAGCCATCAAAGCTGGGGAGAAAGGTGCTGTCTTTGCTCTGATGGTGGTGCCAGTGGAACTCTTCAATGTGCCAATCACGGCCATGGACCAAGCACCCACCACCACTATTAGTGGACCACACTCAGATGTCATGAAGTGGACCAAATTTCCCACTTACTTTCCCGATGCATTTCCAGAGAGCCTGGAATTCTGGAACTTGGCAGGCATTTTGCTTCGAGACCACACTGGTGCTCGCCTGAACTACAATCAGTGGTGGACTCAAAGTCAGATTGATAGCACTGATGGAGGGTACCACAACCACGCTGGCACTCCCGGAAATTTGACTTTTGGTGAGCTGCACATGGTCATGTACTCCGCAGCACCCAACACAGGCATGATTGTTCAGCTCCCACATACCATCAGCACTGAGACTGTCAAGAAACCTGAAGAGATCCCAGAGAACAACAAATACTTTTGGAATCAGCGGGACAACGAATATGTCCAGATGACCCTTCCCTTGCCACCAGGCTATGTGCATGGTCCTCTTTGGTCCATCAATTCCTCAAATGGTGAGCCAACCAGGGATTGCGTGGGTGCTGTTCGTTATCCTTGGCATGGCCTGGTGACGGGACCCATCAATGCAGCTGGTGGCACCTCTCAGCCTCCCCGCTACACCCTGTGGGTGGTCTTCGAACATGCGCCCGAGGTGATCACAGTCCCAACCTCCATGCTGCAGTATGTGACCAATGCCTACCTTCAAAACTTCGTGGATTGGCCCACACCAGCATGCAAGTCCGAGTCTGGCAAGGAGTCTGAAGCCGAGCCTGATAGACAGATGTTGGACTCAACGGAGTCAAGTGACACAAGTGACTCACATGTGACCTCTGCCTTCCTGCTGTTTGTGAGTGCAGTGTGGATGACGTTGATCTGAGTCGCGGTTAATTAAGTATCAGACAGTATAGTGATTGATTTACCATGTTTCATCATGATGTCATGATTCATTATGATTTACGCTTCAGTTGTACAGGGAAGCAGTTGCTGCCGACAGCGTAGCAACTGAAAACCACTAGAAACATCTAGAAACGGCAAAGCTGTGGTGGACCGAACTTCTGCTCCGTCTTGTAAAGATGCAAAGTCACCATCCCGGCTCGTTGGTCTCTTAGAATGTTGCTTTAGACGACCAACAGGATCCAAAAATCGCGCTTGTGCAGGAAGGCTGGTGGTGCTTGAATGGTGTATGTTTGTGTCACTTTGCAGAATATCATCATAGAATCATGGTTTTAAAGCCACAATATCATCACATATCATCACATGTTTATTTAGGAATTTTAGGAGCAGTTTGTTAGCATGACTTCTGCAATGTTGCACTCCAAAATGCAAGTTTTGAGCACGTGCATGCACCGGTCAAATGTTATTTTCAATTTGTTTCCTCTTTCGCCACAAGTAAGCATTCGATGTTTGGCTTCAGAAGTGCAAAGAGCTCCAGCCGCGATTACCACCCTTTCTGCCTAGTCACCCTCGACTCACATGATGAGGTGGTTGATCACATTGGTGGTTCCAATTGCAGCTGTTCCACAGCTGAATGCCAGCACGCAGAATGTCAGCATCAGTTGCAAGATGAACGTCTCCCTTCAAGCTGAAGGATACCTCCATGAGTGGTGCAAAGATGTGAGTTCCAAGGCCAAGTTTCCCGCTTGCTATCCTGCAGGTGTTCCAGAGTGGCATCCGGAAAACAACATCATCGTGCAGTTGCCAGATCCTTCAAGCTGTCCGGTGGCTGTGTCACCTGAATGGATCATCGCCGGATGGTCTTGGAAGTACATTCAGTTGGCTCCTGGAGAGTCGTATCCTCTCTCAGTGAACAAGTCGGAACAGGCGTTCATGAAACTGATCCGTGGAAGTGTGTTGGATGTGAACCAGATCGGAGTGCAGGCTCCATCGGGTCACTAGGAAACTTTTGTGGTGACTCCACCCAACACTGAACGAAGCTTGGAGTTGGATCACCGACTTTCAGCCATCAAAGCTGGGGAGAAAGGTGCTGTCTTTGCTCTGATGGTGGTGCCAGTGGAACTCTTCAATGTGCCAATCACGGCCATGGACCAAGCACCCACCACCACTATTAGTGGACCACACTCAGATGTCATGAAGTGGACCAAATTTCCCACTTACTTTCCCGATGCATTTCCAGAGAGCCTGGAATTCTGGAACTTGGCAGGCATTTTGCTTCGAGACCACACTGGTGCTCGCCTGAACTACAATCAGTGGTGGACTCAAAGTCAGATTGATAGCACTGATGGAGGGTACCACAACCACGCTGGCACTCCCGGAAATTTGACTTTTGGTGAGCTGCACATGGTCATGTACTCCGCAGCACCCAACACAGGCATGATTGTTCAGCTCCCACATACCATCAGCACTGAGACTGTCAAGAAACCTGAAGAGATCCCAGAGAACAACAAATACTTTTGGAATCAGCGGGACAACGAATATGTCCAGATGACCCTTCCCTTGCCACCAGGCTATGTGCATGGTCCTCTTTGGTCCATCAATTCCTCAAATGGTGAGCCAACCAGGGATTGCGTGGGTGCTGTTCGTTATCCTTGGCATGGCCTGGTGACGGGACCCATCAATGCAGCTGGTGGCACCTCTCAGCCTCCCCGCTACACCCTGTGGGTGGTCTTCGAACATGCGCCCGAGGTGATCACAGTCCCAACCTCCATGCTGCAGTATGTGACCAATGCCTACCTTCAAAACTTCGTGGATTGGCCCACACCAGCATGCAAGTCCGAGTCTGGCAAGGAGTCTGAAGCCGAGCCTGATAGACAGATGTTGGACTCAACGGAGTCAAGTGACTCAAGTGACTCACATGTGACCTCTGCCTTCCTGCTGTTTGTGAGTGCAGTGTGGATGACGTTGATCTGAGTCGCGGTTAATTAAGTATCAGACAGTATAGTGATTGATTTACCATGTTTCATCATGATGTCATGATTCATTATGATTTACGCTTCAGTTGTACAGGGAAGCAGTTGCTGCCGACAGCGTAGCAACTGAAAACCACTAGAAACATCTAGAAACGGCAAAGCTGTGGTGGACCGAACTTCTGCTCCGTCTTGTAAAGATGTAAAGTCACCATCCCGGCTCGTTGGTCTCTTAGAATGTTGCTTTAGACGACCAACAGGATCCAAAAATCGCGCTTGTGCAGGAAGGCTGGCGGTTCTTGAATGGTGTATGTTTGTGTCACTTTGCAGAATATCATCATAGAATCATGGTTTTAAAGCCACAATATCATCACATATCATCACATGTTTATTTAGGACTTTTAGGAGCAGTTTGTTAGCATGACTTCTGCAATGTTGCACTCCAAAATGCAAGTTTTGAGCACGTGCATGCACCGGTCAAATGTTATTTTCAAATATGTTCAATCCGTTTCCTCTTTCGCAACAAGTAAGCATTCGATGTTTGGCTTCAGAAGTGCAAAGAGCTCCAGCCGCGATTACCACCCTTTCTGCCTAGTCACCCTCGACTGACATGATGAGGTGGTTGATCACATTGGTGGTTCCAATTGCAGCTGTTCCACAGCTGAATGCCAGCACGCAGAATGTCAGCATCAGTTGCAAGATGAACGTCTCCCTTCAAGCTGAAGGATACCTCCATGAGTGGTGCAAAGATGTGAGTTCCAAGGCCAAGTTTCCCGCTTGCTATCCTGCAGGTGTTCCAGAGTGGCATCCGGAAAACAACATCATCGTGCAGTTGCCAGATCCTTCAAGCTGTCCGGTGGCTGTGTCACCTGAATGGATCATCGCTGGATGGTCTTGGAAGTACATTCAGTTGGCTCCTGGAGAGTCGTATCCTCTCTCAGTGAACAAGTCGGAACAGGCGTTCATGAAACTGATCCGTGGAAGTGTGTTGGATGTGAACCAGATCGGAGTGCAGGCTCCATCGGGTCACTGGGAAACTTTTGTGGTGACTCCACCCAACACTGAACGAAGCTTGGAGTTGGATCACCGACTTTCAGCCATCAAAGCTGGGGAGAAAGGTGCTGTCTTTGCTCTGATGGTGGTGCCAGTGGAACTCTTCAATGTGCCAATCACGGCCATGGACCAAGCACCCACCACCACTATTAGTGGACCACACTCAGATGTCATGAAGTGGACAAAATTTCCCACTTACTTTCCCGATGCATTTCCAGAGAGCCTGGAATTCTGGAACTTGGCAGGCATTTTGCTTCGAGACCACACTGGTGCTCGCCTGAACTACAATCAGTGGTGGACTCAAAGTCAGATTGATAGCACTGATGGAGGGTACCACAACCACGCTGGCTCTCCCGGAAATTTGACTTTTGGTGAGCTGCACATGGTCATGTACTCCGCAGCACCCAACACAGGCATGATTGTTCAGCTCCCACATACCATCAGCACTGAGACTGTCAAGAAACCTGAAGAGATCCCAGAGAACAACAAATACTTTTGGAATCAGCGGGACAACGAATATGTCCAGATGACCCTTCCCTTGCCACCAGGCTATGTGCATGGTCCTCTTTGGTCCATCAATTCCTCAAATGGTGAGCCAACCAGGGATTGCGTGGGTGCTGTTCGTTATCCTTGGCATGGCCTGGTGACGGGACCCATCAATGCAGCTGGTGGCACCTCTCAGCCTCCCCGCTACACCCTGTGGGTGGTCTTCGAACATGCGCCCGAGGTGATCACAGTCCCAACCTCCATGCTGCAGTATGTGACCAATGCCTACCTTCAAAACTTCGTGGATTGGCCCACACCAGCATGCAAGTCCGAGTCTGGCAAGGAGTCTGAAGCCGAGCCTGATAGACAGATGTTGGACTCAACGGAGTCAAGTGACTCAAGTGACTCACATGTGACCTCTGCCTTCCTGCTGTTTGTGAGTGCAGTGTGGATGACGTTGATTTGAGTCGCGGTTAATTAAGTATCAGACAGTATAGTGATTGATTTACCATTTTTGCTTCAGTTGCATAGAGAAGCAGTTGCTGCCAACAGTGTAGCAGCCGAAAACCACTATATAAAAATGGTAAAGCTGGGGTGGACCGAACTTCTGCTCCGTCTTGTAAAGATACAAAGTCACCATCCCGGCTCGTTGGTCTCTGAGAATGTTGCTCTCTACGACCCACAGGATATAACAGGATCCAAAAAGCGCGGTTGTGAAGGCTGCCTTTCTGGAATGCGGTTCTCTTGGCCTTGGACGTTCTTGCAATGTCAGTGTTGTTCTGTTCGTTGGTAGTCACTTGTGAGAGACGTTCTTTTTCACCAGGTTGATGACATGGGGGACCCACAACGTGCAGCTGGTACACCCGCGAGAGTGAAGCTGTATCCACATCATCAGCACCATGGTCCTACATTCCTGGTATCTTGCCTGTTAGTGCCTGTTAGTGCCTGTTGGAGCGGTGGAAAAAAGTGTCTTGTTGCGACCTGAGACATGAGGACGGCGTCCATGGCAGCCACGAGCGGCGACCAGGACAGGCCAAAACAGGGCATCGGCGGCTTGGCACCAGCTGCTAGCTGTTTCTTTGTGCCGTGCCTTGAGAAAAAGTTTAGCTTTCTTTGATGATCTTTGATGTATTTTGATGTTCTGTTTCAATCAGTATGTAAGAGGAAAATCAAATCACATGTGTCCGACTTCGTAATTAGAAATGTTTAATCATCGATTCAAAAGATCAAACCACGTCAATTCAAATCGTCCATTTGACTCTTTGGTCGTTGATGTTCGGATATATAGTTCATTATAGTTCCCATGGTCACCAGCGTTGTGCAGTTTCTTCAAGGCTCCTGCGCACGCTGCGGAGAAGCTTGGCTCAGTGCTGCCGGGGCAACGCTGCACAACTGCATCTGGGCCGGGATGATGGGAACATGTTGCGATGAGGAAGCTAGGCTTGGGAGGTGATGGGTAGGTGGTGATGATGATGATGATGATGAGGATTGCTAGTATTATTGGGGATGTATGTGGTGTTTTCATGTGTACTCTTCCTTTTTTTGGGACAAGTTTTATTTCCCATAAAACTTTGACGCGATGTGATTGTCTGTCGCAGTGTATTGTTTGCTCATTTTGCCATTGAAATCTCAGTAGTAATATAGGTTTGAGGCCCTGAAAAAGTGGCTGACCTCTCTTTGACCTTTATGTTTGTTTAAATCCAGGATTTTCCACTGAACAGACTTCGATTCAATGTGTACCACTGCATGAAGCATCCATCTCTTAGAGTCCCATCTCCAACCAACATAAATCTGTGTTATCCATTGTTATCCTGTGTTGAAAGGGATGTAAGTTCTGCCAGGTCCCTGACTTCCAGCCCAGAGAGTCCAGTGGCCCAGGTATGGAGATTTGGTGGTGCGCACCTACATGCCTCAACCCTCCAGGTTGCTCTACCACAGCCCCCAAAATGGCGACAGGAACTCCACAATTGTGGTGAGAAATATCTACAGATGACCATCATAATTCCATCAAATCCAACCACATCCGTCAACATCCATCATCCATTGGTCATTACAGGCGCGGAGAAGAGGCTCCCCCGGCACTGGTGCCTAAGGAAGTCTTTGAGGCACTGGCCATCCAAACAGCCATCAAGATCTGCCATCATCCGGTGGTTCGAATCTTTAGAACTGCTGATTTGTGTCTTGAGGTGCTTGAGCCCCGCAACACCCCACGAATAGAGTTAATTACTAGTCTAGAAATCTCAACCATTGACATAGTTTTCGAATTAAAGACATAATACATGTATACGTATATATAAATTAATAACTATACAAAATAGATATGATATACATAGTAAATACATATATAATATAAATATAATCTACAATACATATTATATTATAATACTTGTATAATCTACAATATATATATAATTATATATATAATTATATATATACACGTATTGTAGCCTTGTTCTCCTCACGTTGCAGTCGCTTGTGCCCCGTGGACGAGGCGGCCTTGCTGCGCTTGCTACCGAGCATGCCACCACAGGACTTGGCCACCATGACGGCGGTCTTCAAGGACTCAGCTGGCATAAGGTTGAATCATGTTGAATCTGAGGGTGGTATGATCTGACTTCCTATCAAAAGGAACAGTTCTTCAAAAAAAAACTGACTGTGAGGAAGTGATTTTTGGCATCATTTTGCACTATTTTTTTTCAGAATCCTCCCCAGTGGAATGAACACTCCAGCTGCAGGATGCTGTGCGAAGCGACTGTGTGGACTACCGCTCGTTCTTGGAAGCTCTGCAGGCAGCGCTGTCAGGTTTTGATCAAAGGTTTCTCTCCTCCTATATTAATGTTCTTGGGGTCCTAGGCGTATCTAGGCGTATGAAATCCGAATGATGTGAACATGATCCATATGATCCCAAATCCCACTATCTCGAATTTACCTACCTCCTATATTGTCCTACATCTTCCTACATCCAAGATCAGGATATATCATGATATATCAGGATTCAATCCAAGTTCTGCTATGACAGGTCTCTTCTCCGGCCCGGCAAGACTGTGCAGCACGCCTGTTCGACGATCTCGTGGGCACGGCGCGGTCCGTCTACGCAGCGGTCTGTGATGTCAAAATCTCAACAGGTTCGATTAATGTTGGACGGCAAAGATGAACATAAGACACTTGTACTACACTTCTTCTGAATCCTTCCTGTGCTCTTTCAAAGAATACGTGGCCTTTCTTTCCTGGCAACAGCTTTCACCTTGACTTTCGAGAGCACAAACAACCAGTGGTCCCATCCGGTCCCCATCCGGTCCCAATGCGCCAGACCGGCGCCACTACCTTGGAACTGTCGGGTGATGGCCGTGTACCATTGGGAGCCAAGACGGTCTTCGGTGAAAGGTGGATGTTGCTGTCGTGTTTTTTTTTTCTCTGGAAGATAATGCATATTTATATAGTATGGTATAGTCAAAGTATAGTCAAAGCCTACAATTCCAGTATTTTTGGGATAAAGATCCATTTAATTACCAACTAGTTTGAGCTTCACTGGGGTACCAGGGTTTTAACCCACAGCCAGTATGGCAGCTTTCAATATGACAGCTTTGGTCTTCCAGTTTTTGTTGCCCTTCTGAAAAGTTATATTGCGAAACAAGCTGGTTTCAGATGTTCATCAAGAATTTCTAAGGATTCGGATGGTACCCTGCACCGGACTCATATTTTTGGCTGGCTGAGAAACAGTCGCCAGGTCTGTGTCACTGCAAAACTGGCTGGATTTCCATAACTTGGTGGCACTCGCAGCTGGAGATACCACAGATTCTGTGTCACTTGCCTGCAGTGGAAGGCATTTTCCGCAGGGGGAGAGGAGGCATGGAGTGAATTGCAGTTCTGTGTAGCAAATCTAGCTTATCACTCCAAGATCTCAAATTCCCTGCCGGTGATAGAAAGGGTCTCCACTTCCTCTCCGCGATTGTTCGAGTCACGGCCAGCCATTGAATCTACAGAGCCTGAGGTACGAGGCGCAGCTACGCTACTTGTGGGGCCTGAGGGATTTGACTCAAAACCGAAACCTGGCACCTGTGCCGGGCTACTACCAAGGCATGTCACGGGTGCACCTGGGTTGATGGGAACCAGATTGAGATGACATGAGTTTAATTGATGTGTTTGTTTTTTGTGGCATGTTTTGAACCGTTAACTTTTATTACTTATTAACTTAACTATAGTAGTTTGTGATCAGCACTTATGTCTCTTTAAAAGGACGTATTCGCTGCTTTGAGGTGTGGCTTCATGGACACTGATGGATACGACATGATACAACACCACCCCCTCCCGATTGGCTGGGCAACAGTACTACTTCAACCCTGGTGATATAGACTTGTTTGATGAGGACCAGAAGTCCAACGATATTCTATTCATTTCTTTTGCATCCTTCTGTGGCATCCATTTGCCTGCCTCAAAGCTGGCTAATGCCCCTGCTGCCATTTCGAAACTCAGAGAAGGCGGTTGCATCAAAAAGCTGCTGGAGCTGCTTGAGCTGCTGTGAAATTGGCTGTCCAAACATCTTCAAAGCGTTGCATTTACTTCTATAGGAATCCAAAAACAATGAGTTCATGTAAAACTGGACAACTCGAAACAACTTGGGCAATTTGACCCACGAAATGACCTGGGACCAGCACTCAGAGTTTTGCAGCACTAAGGAGACAAAGGCGGCCTCAGCAAACTCTTTCCCAAATACATCTTGGAGACAGATGCTGGGGTTCTGGGTGCCCAGTCATGCTGAAACCTCCCGTACATTATGAAAAGACAATCTTGAATCTTGAAAACAGCTGAGGAAACCATTTACTGGATCGCAAAAAAGAGGTGATTGCAGACTTCGCATGACTTAACCAGTTTCCAGAGGCTGACTTCAATACCCAGGTTTTCCTGATGGCTGCCAAGAAGCAAAAGAACAACAAGACCTCAAAGTATGTCAGGGTCTCAGCATAAAGACATGTATACTGTACGTATGTCAGATGATGTCAGATGCAGATGCCCCTGCCAGACTGATCACTGCCCCTTTTCCTGAGTTTTGGCCACACAATTCCAATACAACAGTGCCACAGTTTCTCTTTGACTTGCAGGGGTGACATCCAGGAACCGGGTTTGGGCCAGGTAATTTGTCATGCAAACAGGGTTGAAGACCCAGTGTCGCATGAGGTCATCACAATGTCCCGAACGGATGACAGCGGCAAGGATGAGGAAGCTTTTCTAGGCCAGTGAGCCAGTGAGCCAGTGAGCGGAATGTTGCCACTACTTGGAGATGTAGATAAAATGATGAACCAATATAAACAACGCAAAACTATGAAGAACTAGTGAAGTAACGAACTCATCGAACATCACAGATCATAATTCGGCCCATGGGACGCGACGCTGCGCTTTGCCAGGCAAGCTGCGATCCAATTTCCTGGGCCTGGAGTTCATGGCCTATGGTGAGGGGATGAATCCCAAGAAGCCGCTGGTCTTCATGATATTTGGTTGGTGATTTTTCACATACCTTTGCTTTCTCCCTTGACTTGGGATGATAATCCAAAAATATCCCAAAATAATTATATAACACTCAGGATAATGAAAACCACCAACCAGTCATGGTCAGCAAATGTCAGCAAATGTCAGCAACATTCCATCCATGAGCAAATGGGTGCAACAGTGGCTTTCAGCTCACGCTTTCGACGAAAACCATCCAAGGATTGACAGCTCCATGTCCCAGGCGGAAGATCGCCCGGTGGGTTGGAGTACCAAAAGCTATGGCTATGGATCAAATATGATCAAATAATAAAGAGCCCCAGGGAAGCAGAGAGTTTGGTCCATAGCTCAAGATCAATCCATCATAATCCATCCATCTGTGCTTTTTAGGGCAGTCTCACGTCAGCATGATCTCCGGGAATTGAACAGATGCAAGTTGGACAGCTCTGCAGGTACATGCTTTGCAGCTTGCCAGGTCGGGTTTACGTTTGGGTAGACACACGCTGTCATGACATTGGCTGTGCGTTAGACTTGAGAAGATGTGTTATGTATGATATTCCTTTCCGAAAAGACTTGGTATTTTGAATCAAACTCCAGGTCTCTGCACCAGGGGGTTGTTTGCTGTTCTTCCAAGACCTTCAATGAGTACTGAGTACTGATCGAGGACGATCTATGGGTCAGATTTTGTACTCATCAATTGATTGGTACCTTCATTCGTTTCTTCCAGAAATCATATGCTGGCACTAATTCATTGTGTCATTGTGCATCAATGTCCTTGATCAACCTGTCCCAAAATGACCTGGGCAAGGCAAGAGCTTTTAGCTGTCCAGTGACCTCCGCAATACTGTCTGCGATGGAGAATCGGTCGAAAATGATCCAATTGTACACGCTTAGAGTATATCATAGTATATCTTAGAGTCATGTACAGATGCCAGTGGTTGCATGGTTTCAGTACAATCATTGCAAGCAATTTGTGGAGCTTGCCATTGCTGTTAAAACAGGTACAGCTCTTCGCTTTGGGGCACCAAACCCCGCGGGCCTCGCAAGATGGGAGCGGTGATCCCAAAGGTCCAGCCCAATGGTGAGCGGCTGATGTGTAGGACCGGGAGCGGAGGTCCATGGGTAACAAGGCTACTTGGAAGATTTGGAAGATTTGGAACCTAGGACTCCTATATAGGACCTAATTACGCTAATTAATTAGTCTTGAATTAGTCTTGAATGATTTGATAAGTTTGATCCCTTCCTGTTTAAATTTTAATACATTATATACAGTACTATGCGTATAATATGTAGCTATCAAGCGGCAAGATCTGACAAACATATCATATTTTGGGTTTTCATCACAACTGCTCTGGCAGCATTGGCAGCTCAAGATGACTCCTGCTGCAAAAATAAACCGCGGGCATCCACCTGCTTCGTGAATGAGATCAGTATCACGTTTGTCGCGAGTAAGTCCAGTTTTGTTTGCTCCAGCACGAGGCAGTCCGCATGCCATAGTGGATCTGTAACCACGCGACCGTTCTTGATGGTTCTTGACATGATTCTTGCTGGGACGTGCTAAGACTCCACTGTTCGAAGATGTCCTTCAAAGCAGCTCTTCGGATCCTTGTCTCTCGATTCCCGTGCTTTTAAATAGATTTTCTGCACAGGTTTCTTGAAGAGGCACAGGTCACTGCGGCAAGGACACTGCATCCAGACACCGAAGGCTTGGTGGCCTTGCAGAAGGCGCATCAGTGGACGTGAGAATCGATTCCACCTTTTGCTGTTGAGAGGTTGAGGCGGTCCTTTGAACTTGTCAGTGTAACGTACAGTTTTATCATGTTATCAAGATGTTGGCTTGATGTCCGATTTTTCAACTTGGCTAAAGTCATTGGATCTTATTCCCAGTAACTTTTTTCTGATTGATTTGTTGATTAAGTATTGCAGAAATGTTAAGATATTTTCATGAAGCCACCAGTCAGGCAATTCATAGAAAATCCCGATATCACAGTCACAGCTTACATCGCCAGGCGAACAACGCAAGCCACATCCACCAGTTCCACAACAAGTTCTTGGGCTCAGCCGATCTGATCTGATCCGATCTGATCCGATAGCTGCCATCCAAAGATATCCCAAGTGCAGAGTGACAGCTGGAGTGACCGCCTTCAAACCAAGGCCTCCAAAGTGGAATGAACAGGTGGGTGCCTTCGTCTTGAACTTCAACAAGCGAGTCACACAGGCCCATTCGCTGCGCTGATCCTTTCGGATGGTTGGTCAATTTCATTCAATGTTATTTGAGAGACTGATTCGCTAGTCTTGGTATGTCGTGCTTGACTGCATCCTGGGCACTTGTCGAATGTACGCAGCACCCTTTGCATGGCACAGGCATCTGTGAAGAACTTCCAGCTCACTACACAGGAAGATCCTGACACGGCTTCTTGGACCTGGGGAGTTTGCTGAAGACATCAGACCCTCAAGCAATGGTATCTATCGCGCAGGCCAGATGGCAAGAGAATCTCACTACCAGTAGTACCGCACAAGGCGGTGGCGGAAGTTTCAAAGATAGAAAACTATAGGAGAGGTGAGTTGTTGTGATGCATGGAAGGCAGAACGAACTGATGGATCGACAGGTGGTTGAGGCTCTGAGTCTCTCTCTCTCTCTCTCTCTCTCAACCGTAACTCTCTCTGTCTCCTTCTCTGTCTCTCTATCAGACTCTATCTATCTATCCATCCATCTATCTTTCTTTCTATCTCTCTATATACCTATCTATACAGTCACATTTTTTCTATCTAGCTATATGTTATATGTCTATCTATCTTTCTTCCTGTCCATCTATCTATCTATCTATCAATCTATCTATCTATCAATCTATCTATCTATCTATCTATCTATCTCTCTCTATCTGTCTCTCTCACTATATCTCTCTTTCTCTATCCATGTATGTGTCTCTCTGACAATCTTTTCCAATCTCTGTATCTCTCTTTATTTTTCTGCCTATCTATCTGTGTGTCTGTCTACCTACCCATCTCGCTATCTCAGCTATCTCTCTGGATCTCCAGCTCCATGTCCATCTCTATCTCCATCGCTGTCTCTTTCTCTATCTATCCATTTATCGACCTGTGTATCTAACTGACATGAAGCAATTCTGCGACACTATGGACGCTACTCCGGAACCTTTTCGCCTTGAATTCAGAATCTTCACTGCTGTTGGGTTGCAAAGCTGGGTTAATTTGACTTTAAATTTCCTTCGATCAATATGTACAATATAATGATATGTATATGATGCAGTTGTTGCTGATATTGTAGAAGAAACAAGGTTGATATAAACAACAATTTCGTGCTTCAATGAGTGGATCCCAATATTCTTTTGCGCGATGCTCCTATTCAGAGCATATTGTCTACGGCGGGATCCAATCTTGCAACGCTTGGCATTGTGGTCGCGCAAGGTCTTCCTGCAATTTGGACGAGTTGGCAAGGTGGGATGGATGATAAGCAGAACCATGGATGTGTTTTCTGTGCGGGCTGAGTAGATCTCATGTCGGTCGGTATAGTGATGATTTTGGTGGACTCTCACGGACAGCCAACCATGATGTATGGAATGTATGGCAGATTATGGCAGATGAAGTATCCTGCTTGCTGATGCCTACATTGATTTGCATGTTAGCTCTTCAACGACAATGGCCTT